CCCACATACTGGACATTTCTTGTGTTTCATTGTTTATTACACCAACAACTCAGTTATAAGCATGAAGACCAAAAAGAGGCTCCAGTTGTGCACTGGCATGTAGACAGATCTTCAGAGATCTTCACTGATATCGAAGGAGTTCTTCATCCTCATGTGTACATTTTGTTGGAGGACTAGGGCTATATTCTAAATACACATGATGTAACTCTAGTTTTTGTGCCATTGACTAAGAGGTACATAGTTCTCTGTGGATGAAAGTTACAAACTGCCATCCCAAAATCTGTAGCATGTAAAGAAAACTGGCTCATGTTATTAAAGAGATTTAAAAAACCACAATTTAAACATTCCCTATAAAACAAATGGATCCCACTTCTAATTGCTTATTTCTTGACATTGAAAATACTGTGATAAACTGCTGAGGGCAACTTGTTCCATAAATCTGCAGGAAACTATTCTGGTATGCCTAAGAGAGGCATTATTTCTTCACCATAACTCCTGGCCCCCTCCCCACCCCCCATCCCAAGCATTAATTTGGCACCTTTTAAATCTTTGAAAAATAAAAATCCCTCTTACTATGTTCACAAGCTCACTTTAATTCCCTTTTTTATAGCCTCTGTAAGTTTTCAGTTAGAGAGAGCATGTTCATTTATTTTTCTTTTCTTGAAGCATTCTTATCGTTACTCCTCTAATGAATATAATTCACCACAATGCATTATTAATGTGACTATGAAGCAGTTATGATCAGATTTTCAGAAACACTTTTTAAATTGATGGAAATATGTATCAATTTATAAATATAAAATTATAAAAGCATAAAAAATTTCCTTCCAAAAGTTAAGATAATACTCTATCTTTTTAAAGACAGATTTCAATCAAGTGACCCATTCAAAAGTCTTAACTCTGGCTCCTTTGTAAATATTGAAATTGGAAAATGAAGGAACAAAAATTTTGGCTCACATGTATGCTTTGTAGTTACTGCCTATCTTTTGGATCCTGATGTCATACTTGGAGTCTATGAAGGGTTCAGTGGTAGCATAGGTCTGGGTAAGTGCTACCACACTGGCTATGTCCTGAAAATCGTAGTGGTTGTCCACCTTGACCTGTTGTCATATCGTAAATAAACAGCATGTGAAAGAGAAAAAAAAATGCAACAACAGTTAGACATGTGTTGTAAAATGACACTTGTGAGAAATATTTTTTTAATATTAAATTTACAGAATTTAGCATAGACATTTTAACTATGTAGAAAGAGCCATCTTTCACAAAACCAGAATAAGGCAATAAATATTCCTACAAGAAGGTGTGTAATTTATAGGGAGAATCATAACCATTTCTTCCGTAGGACTCAGTAGTGGAAAAATTGATAGAGGGAAAGAGGGGATGCCTTGATGGTGGGACCATCCTCAGTCAAAGGAAACTGGTCACGGGAATGAAAGAGCAGGTGTTGAGATACTGAACAGAAACCTCACCTGCAGGACTAGATTCCAGTCCTGAGGAATACTTCATAGACGAGGAATGTGAGATAGCATTTAACATATATGTATTTCAGTGTGTCTGGATCTATACATTTCTTGTGTTGTATCACATGAAATATGCTTTCATTACCATGCATTTCTGAAGAAGAAAATTGTAAATCAGAATGCCCACAATGTTTAAGCTCTGGGAAAAGGTTTTGTCAAGCTATTGGGGAAATTTGGAGAGACAGGATTAGTCACAGAAGTGAAGCACTATGGGATTGGTGTGTGGCCAGTGGTAGGTAAGGAAAAGAGCTTTGTGGCAATAATTATTTTACTGTAGCAATCTGGCCTGTCAGTTTTATACTTGTATTGAATAGTACTTCTAGTAGCAACAGTTATAATATGTCAAAAGGAAAACTAAGAACTTAATGGTATTATTTGCCCATCAACACTGAAATCTGACTATTATTTATGCCATTGTGATCCAGGACATCATGCCAGTTAAGCTGCCACTGAACTAAACTTACATACATCTGTAGAATATTGAGTACCAGTTATGCACAGATAAGGAAGAAATATACTTATGAAAAAATTGAAACTGAAGGTGGACAAATCCCTCTTTTCTCAAGGATGCACAAACTTTTCACCACTTTTACCTTGTTTTAACCAACCATACTATGGGAATCATGAGCTAGTCCTCTGAAAAGCTGTGTCCTGGACCATAGAGCTCAGGACACTTACAAGAATTCCTCAAGATAAACCCAGTTTTTCAAGATCTAAACCTACATTTCTGAAATATGTGAAGTGTAGTGCCTTGCTTAATGGGCCAAATCCTACTCCAACTGAAGTCAAAGTGAATTTTGCCATTGATTCAGTAGAAACAAGAACACAGTCAAAATGAGCTATTCATGCTTGAGTTCACAGGCTAGGCTGGACTGGGCTCATATGCTTTGATATCAAAATGGCAGAGGGTGTAAATGGCATTGCACTGATTCTGGCATTTATCAGCTATGCACAATTATGGTAACATCTTCCTTAGGGGAAGTGCTGTGGTAACATGTACTTTGTACCTGTTACATTGAGTTCAACAATGTATTTGGATCAAAGATTTCCAGGGGGGATGCATTTCCTTTATTGAACCAGTTCAATCTAATTTCCAATCACAGATCTGGACTGTTGTTTAAATTGAAGTTTATAATAAAATTTAATTTTTAAACATTTAATTCCCCTTATGCCACTCCAATGTAATGATTTTAGTTCAATAAAAAAGAAACTGAAAGACAGATTTCCTATTTCCTCCACATCCTTTATAAACTCTTCTTATAAATAAGTATAATGCTCTATTGCCCATGTCTTGAAAAAGCTCACAGTGTAAACGCTAAATGGGTGTTGAATGCACATATATGAGGGCAGAGCTTGGTCATTAAAATGGAAAAATCATGAATAAATGGAAAACATTAAATGTTGTAGTAAAAATCCCATTAAAGAACCAGTGTTTGTGGGAGTGGAGGAAAAATAGAGTGACTAAGATACAATACAGAGTTTAATGTAGGAAGAAGAGGTCATAAACTCTCCCCAGATCAACGGGGTGAAAATATTCACCATGCTAAATTTGGGTCATTTTGATTTTTCTAAAATGTAAGCATTTCAAGACATCTTTAGACAAGAAGTGGATTGCTTAGATGAAGGCTGTCATCTAATAGGTGGGGATTACATATGCAGTAAGGGTGGCCCCTAAGGAACCCCTGCACTGTGTGGGCTGCACTGGCAGCTTGTAGCCTGCTGTCGATAGCATGCAGGCCCTCTTTCCCTCCACCTTGAGGGTTACACAGGTGGAACGCAGACCCCAGCTGCACAGCCCTGGCTTAAACAAAAGAATTCTTAATCATGTGATTAGGCACTTCTAGGTTTCAGTCACAGGTTACTCCTGGATATATCGATAACTGAGGATTTTACTGAGCCCTATAGATAAGGACTACTTATATAATGGTTTGAGCCTATCCTGTATTTGTGGATCTCCTGAGGGCCCAATTTTTAGCTCTGTTTTTCTATGATTTTACATCGTAAGCCACTCCCGCACTCATCATTGTGAGGTGAGTGATATAAAACACTGCGGCTGTGTGAAGCTTTGGGTGCTGATTTGATTTGGAGGAGATTTGGTCTGATTCAGTGGCCAAATTTCTGAATCCCAATTGAATCAGGGGATCAATTATAAGGTCTAAATCAATTAGAAGCTCTCTGAATCAATTTGGAAAAGATTCAAAGAGCTTTGGTGATTCGGGCAGTCCCCGCATGCTGCCACAGGGAGCTGGACCTGGACTCAAAGCTGGTAAGGAGGGGGTGGGGAGGCTGGAGGAGCAGGAAGAGGGACTATGGGGGGACCTCCAGCAGGCCCCATCCCCTGCTTGCTCCCCCAGTCCCCTTGAGCACCCCCCAATCCCTACCTGCTCTCCCAGCTCCACCCCATGGCTGCCCCACTCCAGCTTCCAGCCCTTTAAAAAAAAGTCCCCACTCACTGGCTGCCGTTAGGTGGGGGGGTGATCCCCGCTGACCCCCGCTACCCCATGCCACATGTGGGGCTCTGCCATGAGACCCCCACTTGCTCCCCCAGTCTCCCCCCCATGGCTGCCCCATGCACCCCAGGTCCTGGCCCTTTAAGGAAAAAGAAAAATCTGGACTTGTCATCGGGGCTTCTGGGGGCTTGTGCAGAGGCCCCCCACAGCACGGGGCAGCAGGGGGCAGGGGGGATCATGGCCCCTGCTGGGCAGGAGCCAGTGAGTCAGGGCTTTTTTGGGTTTTTTTTAAAGGGCCAGAGCTGGGGCAGATTGGGCAGCCATGGCGGGGCTGGGGGAGCAGGCAGGGGATGGGCCCTGTGTGATTCAGAGATTCAGCTGATTCGGCAGCAGCCGAATCGCCAAATCAGATTGGGCCAAATCAATTTGGGACAGTGATTCGAATCACCAAATCAAATCACTGTCTCCTGTGTCGGCCGAATCTGAAGTGAATTCTGGCTGCTTCACACATGCCTATTAAATGCCAGTGACATGCAGCTGTCCCAGGAACTGAACAGAACAATTATTTGACAACATGCAGGTACTATACAACACAGTAAGAAAGAAATAAAACATATTTCATCTAGTTGACACAACGGTGAAAATTTAGGCCACTCCAGGCAAAACTTATTTCTCAGCCCAGACTTCCCAACTTGTAAACCTGTAATTGGGTTTTCAAGTAATTTTACTGCAGTCAATGGAATTATCAGTATTAAAGCCCTGATTCAGGAAAACACTTAAGCATGTACATACAATTATCTCCAGTCAGGACAGGATTTAAGTCACCTTGTAGTATAAACATGTGGTTAAGTATTTCCCTGAACAGAAGTGTTTTCTTGAATGTACGCCCAAGCAAGGTTTTGACTAGGGTTAGACCAGGGTTGCCAACTGTCTGTAAATTTATGGACAGTCCATTAAAAAAGAGCTCAAAATTGCTGGTCCATAAATCCTGTAAAAAGAATAGAGCTTTTGTAAAAATAAGCAGTCCTGGAATAGAGCTTCTGTAAAAATAAGCAGTTCTGAGCTCCTTTCAAGATATGTTGCCTGAATGAGGCCACATTCAAGCATCAATGCTGGACAAAGAGTGGAGCAGTACTGCTTAGAGTCTAAGTGGGAATGCTGCTCAGCACCCTGCAGTGCTGTCTGTCTGTCAGGGCTTTCTAGTTCACTGGAGCCTCTGTGGTTCCTTGCAGCAGGGATGGATCTGCAGGGCTGGGGGCAGGGGGGATCCATGCTGGGATTGGGGTGAGGGAGAGCTGGGACAGGCGAGGTGGGGACAGGGCTAAACTGAGGTAAGGCTGGGGAGTGAGGTGGTCGACAACATGGTGTGGGGTGCAGTCAGGCTTGTAAGTAAAAAGTTTGCAGACTGCTGGTCAAAAAAAGAAAAAAAAGGATTCTTGTGTTGGCAACCCTGAATCAGACTCCTAAGATAGAATTTGGCCAGTTTGCAAGTTTTAACATCCAGTTCGGAGAAGACTGCACGTTAATATTTACAAACATTTTTTTTTTAAATACTAGGAGCAAGAAAACCCCTAACATATAAGATAGCATCTGCACCTTTCCCATGCCTGAATGAGCATGTCCAATCTTCACAACAACAGGGAATGTTGGCATTGTTAACTAAGGGGAAAGAAAAGAAAAAAAAATTAATTAATTCATCTAAGACATGAACAATTTTATTCTTTATGTAGCAGTTCAGGATTCATCAATAGTTCCAGGCTACATCTATTAACGTTTTAAAGAACACTATTGCTGTGGAACACTCTTCTCCATCCCATGGAGCTCTGTCTTTAATTTATACAGAATAATGAAGAATAATACAGTCAGGGCAGTCCTTCTCATGCTGATATTTTAAACTGACATCTGTAGACTGCTCAGACATTTAACTTGACTCCAAGGGTTGGTTTAAACAGAAATTATACACATATGAATTAAATACCATGCACAGCATTAAGTGATTGTATGATAACAAGCTACTTTCCATTAGTTCAATTTCAGAAACTATAAGTTTTAGTTAAATAGATCTAAAGCATTTTCTGTTAACCTTTCACTGTCAGCCATTCTTATGACTCTCAGCTCCTCCCAGGTTCAAGGTCTTAACTGCAGGAATGGGACATCTTTGACAGACAGTGTAGTTAGGATGGTGGTTGATCTGCTATGTCAGCTTTCTAACTTGACATTTCTGGACTTCCCACGGCTTGCTTGCTTATTTATTTATTTATTTATCAATCGAGCACATGTTTTCTAGTATTCTTGGCATCTATCTGGTGATTTGACTGTGATTCCGAAGCATGAGAACAGCATAAAAATATAACAGATACAAATATGCCAAGGTACCAATGTGCCTTGAATATGTCAAGGTGTTTCATCTCCCATAAATTTCAGTGCTTCACAACCAAGGCTGGTTCTTACCTGCTAACCATTCATCCATCCTTCCATTTATCTATCCACCCATCCATGTCTATTTTCTTCTTAAAAACCCATTAAACCAAAGTTTTTACCGAATTGAAGCAATGTGCAAGTAAACAATAGTAAACATTTACATCATGATTTATAGAATTTTATCTAGCTGAAATAATTCTGAGAATTTAGGCCATTCCAAGCAAAATTTATTTCCCAGCCCAGGTTCCCAGTTTCCAAACCTTAAATTGGCTTTTCAAGTATTTTCACTGCAGTCAGTAAAATTATCAGTATTAAAGTCCTGATTTAAAAAAGCACTTAAGCATCTATCTTTAGTCAGAGTGGCACTTAAGTTGCCTGGCAATATAAACACAGTAAACATTAACCTCATGATTTGTAGAATTTTTGGCATTCCTTTATTGTGCTACAGTAGTAACCTTTAATAACAACATCAGTAGCCCACTCATAGTTTTATTTCTTTATAACTTTTAAAGAGGCTTTAAGATGCACAGTGAATCTTTTGGAGCTGAACAACTTTGCAACCAGCCCTGCTGCCCAATAGCACATTTCATTGATGAATCAATCTGGATCCACCTTTCTTTTTGTAGTATGCAGAAAAGCTAGTTGTTTTTGTAGCAAGTTGCATAATGTTACTGTTTCTTTATTTTACTTTTTTCCCCTCCAAAGCAAATGTTGACTATAATAATAGAAAGGAAACATGAACTGAAAACCTTAAGGCTTACAAAATAAGTGTGGAATTTCCTATGTAATGCCACACATCCTCTGGCTGAGTTTAAAAGCATGTACTGTGAGGATACACTTTGGCATAAGGCAACAAGGTAACTAGCTAATGTTCCATGAAAATTGGCATTTGCTGCTGTAAGTTCCAGTTGCACCTGGGATTTCAATTATTACCATTATTACTTGAATAGAAGCTGACCTGGTCATAAGATGACCCCCTCCCCCAATAACTAGATACTCTATATGAAAAAATTATAAATTCATTATAATTTTTCAGGTCCAGAATCTAATTATAGGAGGTTCACCTGAAGTTGTTCCCTTCCCACTGCAACAGCAGCGAAAATATATCTGGAGGAACAGATAGCTCTGTCTTCTCTGCTTTCCCCAAGCTGTTTAAAAGCTAGGGGGAAAGCACAAAAGCAGTCACCCATTGCCACAAGATTGTGCAATTGAGATCCTCACATTTGGGGACACTTACAAGACTCAGCCTGCCTGAAGGTCAAGGGACATGTCTCATCCTGCACAGGAGCCAAATGAATACCTTTTTTTTTTTAGTAATTTTGTCTCAGGCCAAATTAGCCAAATCACTAATTTTATCAGCTGAAGAGAGCTCAGTCATTCAAGCCTATGTGGCGCTACCACCAGCAAGTATCTTACTTTCCAGATTTTTTTTCAGCCTGGAACTTCAGATACTCTCAGGTCCATGACAGGCATCCTATGTGCAGGCTCCAAGCCCAGAGGTCTTGGAGTTCAGATGCTCTCTAGTCTTGCTTGCCTGTAGCCAAATGGCCATAGGAGGAAGCTAGAGGGAGAGATTTATTGGCCTTTTGGCTCAGATCAAGTGTAGCTCCTATTACTCACTGGAGCTTGCATGTAGGATCTCAGCCTATTTTGGAAGTAAGATACTTGCCTCTGGTAGCACCACACAGATTTGAACGATTGGGCTCTGCTCAGTCGATAGAATTCAGAACTAATTTGCCTAATTTGGCCTGAGACACAAAATTTAATTAAAAAAACAAACAACCCAATGACAATGACAACTGAAAGAACTGGAAAAGAAATAAACAGGGATCAGGGAGGTAGGAACGGGGAGGAGGGACAAAGTGAGCTTACGGCACATCCTCACTGATCCTGTTAAACTGCACAATGGAACTGCTAGCCCAGATGCTCAGACAGGATCCTGGAACCAATGGAGTGCAGGTACCCAGGGACAACTGGGAGGAGGTGATGGTTCAGGCCTACATGGATGACCTCAACATCCTATGCACAGACGAGTGGAGGACTGAAAAGGTACTGCAGCACATAAGTCTATGGAGTGATAGCAAGTCCAAACTCAATGTGAGCCAAAGCACCCGCCTAGTACTGGGTGAGCTCAGGGACCTGTCATCCCTGGGAGTCTTCATCCCCCACAAGGGGTGAAGAGTCTCAGGGTGGAGTTTGAGCCATAGCTGACTGGAGAGAGGGCATAGGAAAAGACCGGGCAAAAGTCAAACAGAGACTGGTCTTGTGGCACACATACCACCTGTCAATGGGAAGGCGTGTGGTGCTCATGAAGGTTGTGTTGCTACCAGTGCTTCTGTACATCACACTAGTCTTTCTCCCCACCCCAACCCTCACTCCTTTCTTTCAGTAGATTGTCCACAGAATCCAGAGGACCATGTATGTCTTCTTCTGGGGCTCCAGATGGGAAAAAATGGTGAAGAGAACCTTGTACAAGACGAAACAGAAAGGAGGCCAAGGAATGCCAGATGCCCTGCTGTTCCTCTGGGCCAAATACACAAGTCATATATGCAAGCTGGCAACTGGAGCAGGGTCTAAAACAGCCTGCTTTGTGAAGTATTTTGTAGGTTACATGCTACAATGCTGGGGAGTACACATACTGCCACTCATGAGCCTAGCCACCTGGGAACCACCCTGGTTCTATAGAATCCTGGAGCAATTCTACAACAAGTACAAACTACGAAAAGAAGGCCTGATGACCCTAGCAAAACACTGCAAAATGCAGGAGGTGGTGGTGAAAAGGGACATTGTGTCACCAGTGGCCTTACTCCCTGGCAACAGCTGCCAGTCCATGTGGGAAAGGATCTTTCACAAGGACCTACTGAAGTGGCAGGTAGCCCACTGACTACTCCCAGTGTGGGCACAGCGACCCAGAGAGGGGCAGAGAAGCTAACCATACCGCTTCAGGGAAACCTGCCCATGGAAGATAGAGACAATAAACCACATCCTGTGGTACTGTCCATATGCCAAAGGGGTATGGAGGAAAATGTTTATACTCCTCAAGATTGTGACAAGAGTCAAGCTCCTAACCAGAAAAGCAGCTGTTTGGGCACCTGTCCAAGCAGCAGGAGACCCTGATGGCCAGCTGGGGGAAAAATCCTCATTTTAGAATCAATTAAATCTGGTATGTAAGCTACTGTGATGACTTCAGACTCCACTAGGTTGGTAACAGAGCTAAGACATAACATTTTTTGCTGATGCCTCCAAATTCACTGCTCTAAACATTATACTATATCTCTTCCCTGAATAGTACAAGGAAGCAAGAAAATATAATATTCAGAAAAATAGAGTCTGGAATTACAAACAAGGATGTACAGTTAGGATCATTTTTAAACCAAGTAGGCACATACTGACAGCCCAGTTTTTTCTGCTCTCCACAAGTTAGAAACAGGAGAAAAAGTCAATGTGGAAAACTGCATGATTCCATTTTAGCCCTGTGGACAGCCAGAACAGTACCTGAAGAATTGTGAAACTATGTATTGACAAGAGATCTTATGTTGTAGCTGTAAAACTAATGGTAATATTAATACATTGTGTAGCAGGGCACTAAGGTGCCTGCTACTTGAAGTGCAGGAATGGCCACCAGCTGCCAGTTGCCAGGGCAACCGGGAGGAGCTAGGGGCCCACACCTGTTGAGTCAGCTGGCCGGAAGGGGCAGGGCTGACTCCTATAAAGCACAGGCTGGAGGCCAAGAGAGGGGGTCTCAACTGGCAGCCAAGGAGAAGGAGTGCTGCCTAACTAAGTAAAAGGGAAAGGCCTGAACGTGAGCAGTCTGTTATGCTGGTGAAGGATGGAGCACCCATGGAGTGTGACTCAAAGGAGGTTAGCCAAACAGTTTAACTTTGTGTTATAGCCCAGGGGCTTGTGTTATTGTTTGCTGTTGTCTACTGGAGAACCGGGTGAGGCTATAAGGGGATGAAGGAGGCCTCATAGGGGAACCATAACAGTGTGGGAGCCCCAGCCCCCGAGAGAGGGTGGGCAGCGCGAAGCCCCCGAGAGAGGGTGGGCGGCACGAAGGCATCCAGTAAGAGCAAAGAACATCCAATATATCCGTGAGGCTTGGGGCGTGGTGCAGGGGTGGTTGGAGCCATGCATAGCCTATAAGGCTGGGGTGCACCTGAGCCCCATTCCAGAAAATGGACCGGTATAGCACAGGAGAACCATAGCCAAGAAGACTAAAGGTAGCCTCCCCATAATAC